GTGGAGGATAGGAGGGCCTGGCGTGCTCTGGTCCATGGGGTCATGAAGAGTCGGACACGACTAAACAACAACAATAGAAGATACTCAGTGATCATTAGGACCTACTGGGGCATGAGTAGGAAGAAAGGTGTACACTGTCTTAGAGACTATTTTTAAAAACCCAGAATAAAATGGTAATAATTAAAATGACAGATACATACATTGTTAGATAAAGTACTTAAAAATGTTAGAAATATTGGCTACATTATTCATTATTATTTATGTTCCTTAATTTTCACTTTTTTAAAGGTCTGCTCATACACTACAACCATCTTCAGGAGATGATATCACCACCAGTGTATCTGTTCAACTATATAATGGAGAGAGCCAGCAGCTCATCATTAAACTAGAAAATATTGGAACAGAACCTTTAGAGAAATTGGAAGTCACATCAAAATTGGTGAACACAAAAGGTGGGGGCTGTTATTCTTGCAATTTTCTTGGTGCTATAGAAAGATTGAAAATCAGTATCATTCTTCCATCCAGGCTAATGATATACCATACTACATAATGTACAAAAGAAAATAATGGAGAGAAAATTAGAAAGCAAGAAAATTCAGGTTGTTTATTGCATGATGTTGTTTTTTTAGGGCATGATAACTTGTGACGAGTATGAGCGAATAATGCTGTAAAAGCCATCGCTCCAGTTTTAAATGGGAGTGAAGCTTTGGTTGTTTGAGGTGCCATTCTTTGGAAGCTGCAGGGTGACCACTGCGATGTTGTTGGTTGTTGCCCAGTTGATCATTTCAAATAGGGTTGATCCTTGGAAGTTCAAAATGCACCAATGAATAATCAGAATATTACACAATTCAGCAAAGCCTGTGATCTGTGAAGTTACCTTGTAATCTTACTACATGTATCAGACTGATTATTGAAAAGTGGACCTGGAAGAAACTGTGGGCACATGGAGTCTTCTTTTTCAACGTACTCCCTTTCCACCCACCCATGTTCCTTCTGTCATGCCCAGGATGTTTCATTTCTCTTTTTCTTTCAGTAGAGGGTCAATATTTTGTTGAGCATGTTTTGTCTTCATTGGGTTCTTTCTTCCGCCCTCCTCCTTGGCTTTCTTCAAAATACCTTTTGTGCTTTGCAAACTCGGAAATATTGGGGTTCCTCTGACAAGGCAATTATTTTCTTCTTATTGCTTGAGTGCCTTCATTTTAGCTGCATTCCAGTCAAGCTTTTACCAGATGAGTTTGCAGTCAGAGAGACTACTGTTATTTTCCAGACTGTGCAGACCTTACATTATAAATCAATTCTCTGTATGTTAGTTCTTGGTTGAATGCTTCTCTCTACTGACCTGACACCACTCTGGCAACTATTCATGAAGAAAGTGCTACCTGAAAATGATAGTTCTTTTAAATACCTTAAAAAAAATTCACCATGCTTCAGATGAAGCTGTAGACTTAGGAATGGGGTAGTCCTCCCAGATGTTCCCATCACCTCTCATCATTGCCTATGGTAGCTAGAACTTATGGGAGTTGCTGATAGCAACAACTGGGGACACACAGTATTTACCCGTTCTCCGTATATTAAGTCCCATAATAAAATCACAATGTAAAACATGATACTAAAAGAAACAGAGCCCTGATGAGTTTTTATATCCAGTAGTTTTTAAAAATCTGATGCAGAGTGATTTTCTAGGAATCAGAACCTTTTTTTTTGTAATTTGAACAATCAATGCACTTTCAGTGCAATAAGGCCACCAACTTTTGATTCACTTCATTTTTACTCTTTAAAATAAGGGTGGGAAATAGGCCACCCTTGCCCTTTTGTGCAGCTGCCCTGACTTGACTTAGGTGCTGAATTGGGTGTTGTGGCAACAAAGCTGGGTATCAGAAGGACTTCATAATTTCATGTTTTGTTTAAAGCAGGAGATGGAATGATCATATTCCTTGTTTTGAGTTAAACAAATTGATTGGGACACTTTCTTTTTCCTTCCTGAAGAATCTATTTTAATGATCCCCCAAAAATAATAATTTAAAACATTATCACAGTAGTCACACATGATATCAATATTTTCATTTAACTAGCCACCAAATTTCCAAGATCACATTCTTGATCAATAACCTATAAAGCCTTCGCAAATAAACCTATAAATCCTCACTGGCTTCTTAAAACTGTAGTGTGCAAATCCTATGCACACTTGCTGGTGAGTAAGCCTCATTAAAGCCAGAGACGTGTCAATTGAGACATACATATGTGGGTTTTCAATAGCTAGTGTATTACAATTCTTTGATAGTCTGCGGAGAATTCTATGACCTATGCAGATTTGCATAGGATTTACTGTCTTAATTACACTGAAATTAACAAGTGCTGTCTGATTTCACAATGGTGGATTAATCTGGAAGATAACATATCTATTTCTGTCAGTTTTATTAGTAAAAGCTTACTTTTAATTAGGCACAAAACACAGTTTGATGTGGTTTGGAAAGTGTTATATGTATGTGAGAAGAAAATAAATATATCTAGTCTCCTTGACCAGCTGAATTTAGTCTTAATCGTATCCAGTTCAAACAAATTATATTAAGTTTACACAAAAGTATGTTCCACCACTTTTAATGAAGCACACAATGCAACCCAATCAAAGTTTACTCAAGAAAACTTTCATTATAGTCCGTGTGCAGCCTTACTTGCCAGTGTAAATATGCATGACATTGTGACCTTAGTCGTGAAATGGCTGGATTAGGGCCAATACTTGCATCTTATTTAAGCATTTTGTTTGATGCAGCTGACAGAGTAGCACCAACTTTTAAAAAGAGAATGGGCTTTAAATATGAGATATTAGAAGTTAGGCTTCATTTTGCTGTTTTTGTACTTTAAGGATACTTTTACTGAAATGGAAAAAAAATATTCATAATGATATTTCCGATAATACAGAAGATATTTGGCAGGTCACTAGTAATGAATAATGCATCTATGCTTAGCTTTTACAGGAAATCCACTGGGCAAGTTCTATAGTTTAAAAAACAGGTTTAAATTATTTAGCTATTCAGACTATTTTGCTCCTTTTATTACAACTCTCTGCATGGTATTTTTGTTTTGTTTTAATTTTTGTCTCCGCATAAAACCTACCTAACTATTTTCATAAAATGCAGATCCATAAATAATTGCAGAGGTATGCTTTTTGGTGGAGGCAGCATTAATGAGTGGGGTTTTTGTTATTGTTCTGTTGCTGCCTGATTCTTGCAGGAGTGGTTGTCATGATACCACAAGCATCGAGCAACCGCAGAACAAACAGCAAAACACAAACAAATATTGCCTATGCCAAAAGCCATATAGAATGAAGCTCCATGGCTTGTTTACCAGCTCATGCTGTAAGTTGGGGTCACTGAAGAGTGTGCACCAGTGTGTTGTTTGTTGATGTCAGTCCAGGGCTCCTGTAGAACCTCATCCGCCTAGAGTGGCCTTATAGGCCAGATGGGCGGAGTATAAATCAAATAAATAAATAATAAATAAAAATTGGCTTACCCAAGGGGTGCTAGCCTCTGGTTTTAGACGTGAGGTGAAATAAGGACTGTTTTCATCGGTAAAGACATGATGGCCTTTTGGCCTTGCAAATGCCATAGGTCAGAAAACACAAAAAGTGTCTATTGTTGTAATTTGTTTAATATTATGTTACTTTGAACACACATCCCTTTTCACTGAACTGTCATGTAAACTATCCTTAAACATAGCTTTACCTCTTGCTTGCTACAGGTCTGTGTTGAAGATTTCCTTTTCTGATTCAGTTCTGCCCACACATGCTGCTGCTCGGTTAATGGTACAAAGAGACTGAATTATGACTAAAAAATCATTCTCAATGTTCTGTTGAAATTAAAGAGAGCCACATAGCCTTTATGCAGTACAAATACAAGAATAGGTGATGCCTTTATAGATGTATATCACCACTCCTCCATTAAAAATCTGTTGACCAGACTTTATACACAGGAATAGCAGAATACATTTGTACACCTTCTCTATGATTGAAGAAAAGAATCATTTTCTCATATCTCATCTTTTCAAACTAGTCATCTACAACTAAATAATACAAAATGAATAATTCTTGTCAAATGCAGTTTATAGTAACTGCGTTATAAGCAGGAAACCCCACAGTGAAGCAAATGGAAGATGCTTGTAAATGTGTACTTTTTTGTATTTTCCTGTATTAGTCAAATAAATTATTCAATGTCTGAATTGGTTTTTAAAATATCATGGCATTTGAGGATTGCTACCAAGCTGATAATTAACATATTCAGTGATTATATGTCTGCTGTACAGAGTTATAATATATGGACATATGGAAGATACCTTTAAAATGCATTAGTAAAAACCTCAAACTTTGCATTAAAAGCCTTTCAAGCAAATTTATTTATGGAGTTTAAAGACATTATTTCATTATTCAGTCCTATTACACATGGAGGCATTATGCGGAAATCAGGTCTCCCCATGGATAAGATCTTTGCTCATTCAGAACGAGCTATTTTTTGTTGCTCTTGTTTTATAGTGTGACCTTGTATGTCTAATTTCTTTCTGTGTACATGTAACCAGTGTGCATTTATAATACAGGAAAACTGTTCGGTGATTTTCTGAGCTGGAATCTAGAAGACACACTCTCCCAGTTTCCCCTGAAACCTGGAAATACTGCTACATTTACTGTGTACATTAAAGTAAAGCTTGACTTCTCCTGTCAGGAAAATCTTCTGCAGGATCTTAGTGATGGTGAGTTTTGGATCTTTTTTTCAGTATGAAGAACAGTAATTTTATTTTGGCAGGATTTTGTTGTCTGATTCAGCAAATATTGTGGCAAAACTGCAGAGTACAAGTCTGCCCTGGAAGCCTTTACAGAGTCTCAGCATGACTCTAATGAAACTAGCAGTTGATTGTTTGAACCAGCTTGAGTCTCTAAAAATCATTCCAGGGCTCTGTCTGGATTGGCACAAAGTCCAGGGTTCCTCCTAGCTGTCACCAGCTTTCACATCAGCGCTTAGTCTTCAATAGCTTTCCGCTTGTTATACACAATGCCTGAAATCCTGTTGCTTAGTGTGGTAAGTTACAAGTGGACTTTCGTTTAGTTGTTTAGTCGTGCCTGACTCTTCGTGACACCATGGACCAGAGGACGCCAGGCTCTCCTATCTTCCACTGCCTCCCGGGGTTGTGTCAAATTCATTCTGGTAGCTTCGATGACCCTGTACAACAATTTCATCCTCTGTCATCCCCTTCTCCTCTTGCTTTCACACTTTCTTAACATCAGGATTTTTTCCAAGGAGTCTTCTCTTCTCATGAGAGGGCCAAAGTATTGGAGCCTCAGCTTCAGGATCTGTCCTTCCAGTGAGCACTCAGAATTGATTTCCTTTAGAATTGATAGGTTTGTTCTCCTTGCAGTCCAGGGGATTCTCAAGAGTCTCCTCCAGCACCACAATTCAAAAGCATCAATTCTTCGGTGGTCAGCTTTCTTTATGGTCTAGCTCTCACTTCCGTACATCACTACAGGAAAAACCATAGCTTTGACTATTCGGATTTTTGTTGGCAAGGTGATGTCTCTGCTTTTTAGGATGCTGTCAAGGTTTGTCATCGCTTTCCTCCCAAGAAGAAGGCA